CTTTTCCGGGCACCGTGCTTACGTAGGCAGCCCCGCTTCAACCCTGCATGCTAGCTATGCTCGGGAGACATGGGGGCTGGGTTAGAAGCCCTGGTGAGCAAAGGAGATGAAGAAGCGCAGTCTGACACCTGAAGAAGAAAGAAAAAAAAAGCCCACACAGATTTGGACCGACTGCGGGATGATGAACGGATCTGGCAAAGAGGCACGCCTGCAGCTTGGCTGGCTGGGGTGTGTGTGGGAAGCACACGCCCCTTGAGAACCTGCACCTCGAGCAACGCCCATCCATTGGTCAAAGTCTCTCAGGTTCTGCATCCTATATCTCTTGGCGCAGTCCGTGCAAAACACGAGAAGGGAAGACAGACGGCCGCCACGCTTGGCCCCATCCGCTTTTTTCTCTCTCTTTTTTTCTTCTTTCCTTTCCCGCTCCCGCCTGACATTCGCGAGTCGGACAGGGTCCGGGCACAAAATACGACCTATCGTCTCGTCTCGTCTCCTCCACCGGAAAGAGAAGAAGAAAAAAGCCCACTAGGACCCGGAACAAGTGGAAGCCAGCGTGCTCAGCCATCCAGACCATGTATCACGTCAGGTGGTGGCTTGCCCCCGAGCCGAGACAGGCACCTCGTAAACCTTTTACGGCCAGTTCTCCGGCCAGTTGCGCTCCGACCTTCCAACGACGCCCGATGGGATCGCCTATACAGGCAGCCGGGGTTCAGCCCTTCGGCGTTCGGTTTGATGAGGGGAGGAGAGAGGCGTGCGTGTGGCATTGCAAAAAGATCCAAAAGCGATAACGCGCTCCGGGGAAGATGCCTACCCACCCAATAGTATAGGCATGTATCTACCTTGCCGCCACCTCCTTGTAACCTTACGTAAAGGCCATGTTCTTCAATCCACAGAGGAATCCCTGGCTGCTGCGTCCAGAATCCTACCCGGCTCCATGCCCGTGTAGGCGATATTGCAGATCTGTATCTGGAGTAGCCCGAGGGGGAGGCACTCGGGGCCACCTTGGGCTGCAGCTCTTGCCGGTGTGCCAGTGTCTCGGGCCTCGCTTCTGGGGTATCAAGTGAGGGGTAAGTTAAAATAAGGATACAGAGAATGAAATAGAGAGTATCCACGGAGGTCTGCCTGGCCATGTCTCGCGAGCGCAGATCGCATGGCTATTGTGGGAAGTCGCAGGTGGGAGCTTTTTGAGGGTACGGATGGAGCAAGGGCCCCGCTTCGGGTGTGTCGTCGACGTCAAAGCACGCGCAGAGAGAGGCTCATGAAATACTACACAAACTAGTACGGCTGGGTCGTTGGGATACACATTACGGTACATGTAAGCAGGCGAGGGCGTGCCGGCGCGCCATGACCGGGCTTATTGGCAATCATTTGCCATGGTCTCGTCGTCGGCGGGGAGAGACGGCAAGATCATGAGGAGCTGCACAAAGGTAGGGCGGGAGCTTCATTGCATGCAGGCGTCCCAAAAGGGCATGTTGGATGGAACCGAGCAGAATAATGGACGCCAACCATGCCCGGCCGGCCGGCAGCGCATAAGTTGAAGAGGTGTTGTCTAGTACGACTTCCCCCCCGCCCTCTCTCTCTCTCGCATACATGACGTGCATATGTGGCACCACGCGCATTTCAAATATGCATTATGTTTTATATACCTGTAGGTAGGTAGGTATATCCCGAGGTGCTTGTTGGAAGGGTTGCCCGGCTTCGGACTCGCGCACCTCCTCGAAATCGTCGCTAGCGAGGCGGGAGGATGATGGAGGGCGAAGCAAGACAAGACCTCCTCGTCCGTGCCCTAGGGCAAAGTGAGTCGACTCGGACAGCCAGGCGCTACCACTCGGAAAACCCAAAACAAGGGCACGGCAAGGCGAGGAGACCCTTCGTTTGAGAGGTTTAGAGCCGCAAGCGGCCGCAAACGCGCGCACGTTCGGTTCCTGCCTGTCGGTCCGGCTCATAGAGGTCGGGGTGCTTGCTCGACCAAGAAACGGTCGCCAAAATGGAGGGCAAGCGAGTTCGGCGACGCGCCCATGTCGCACTGGTGCTGTACCGCATGGGTTGGCCTTCCGCGCCGTCAGAGGCCGTCCCTCAGGGGTGGTCGGCGGTCATGTCTATCAATCTACCAAGGCAGGCGAGAAGGTACCTAAACTCCTGCGCGGCCGTGTTTTAGGTGAGTCTGCTCAATGCGGGGACGGCACGGTAGTGTTTATTGAAGAGGTGGTCCAAGTCTCTAGCCCACCAAGGTACGAAGCCAAGTGATACAGGAGCCTTGTCGCAAGGGATCTGGCAGAGGGAAAGATCGATCATGGTGTGGTCCCGGAGTGACGCCGTGGGCAAGATTCAGGTGGCATAGGATGGCGTGGTACGGCATGGAGCGCGGCTTGTTGGTAGGCTCCCCCCTGCCAGGCGAGGGCGTGCGTTGCTGGCCCACGAACGACAGGCAAGACAGCGCGGCCAGCTCGATTAGCGGTTCATGTCAGCAGGCTAATGAGCGGCGCCGACCCCGACACAAAGACCTCCGCTAAACTAGAGCAGAAGGGCAGGCAGATGGTCCGCGTGCGACGCAAGTCGTGACTACGGTGACAGGCCAAGATGGAGGGTTGACCCGAAGAGTGTGTGCATTCTCCGGTTCTATGATGTAAGGACCGCATCGGGAGCTGCCTGGTCGGTCTCACAGTCCTGCCGTTGGGTGGCGCACGGAAAATATGTATAGGTGTCCAGGATCACAGACACTAGTGCGGTGGAGCAAGATACATTTTCTTCCTTAGAAAACCAAGCCAAACTGATGTACCATGTATCTAGGGTATCAGATAATAAAAAAAGAGAAAACAAAATTATTAAGCCCAACGACCCAAACATAGTGTTTCAACGTCGCTGCTGACGGCCGCGCAGTTCGTGCCTGGCACCCTGGGGGGGAGCCGCGGCGGCGGATGGGAGGCTGGACTGGACTGGGGCTTGAAGGGGCGCGGGCGCAGGGGGAGGGAAAAAAAAATACCCATCGGGTGGGAACCCTATAAGACACGCCGCTATAACCCAGGTTGGAGGTTGATCGGATCCAGAAAAGCTGCAGTCGAGTCCAAGCTCGGGGGAAGGACCCATGAGGCGACCCCTCCTCGGCCGAGAGCGACCCCTGCCAGGCGCCATGAATTGAGAGGTGGGGCCGGTCGGCTGCTTAAAACAGCCCCTGCTGCTGGGCCTGCCCGCCGAGTCGGACAGAAGGCCCTGCACGCTGCGTGGCGGGCGGGCTTTTTTGTGATGGGACAGGGTTTAGCTGTTTAAGCGGTTTCACCTTGGCCTTCTCCTCCCTTGCCGTTGGCGACATGTTTCCTTCTCTAGCGCGTCCTTTCGCATGGCAGCGAGCAGGCATTGCGGTCTCTGCTCACACGCCCGCCCGTGTCCCTGGGGCGACTGTTAGGTTACCGATTCTTGGGATCGAGACCTGGTCGTCCATGGATGGGATCCGTCAATCGTGGGCGCGCGGTTCCTCCTCGGCAGGCAGGAAGGCGGCACCACGCGCAGGCACAGCACGGCAGCGCAGCAGCAGCAGCGCAGCAACAGCACAGGGCACGCCTTCCCGACTCGCCGCGCCCAATGCAGCACAAGCACAGGTGCTTTGCCCCAGCAGCCACAAGGGAAGTCGCTGTCGACGGGTCCGCCAAATAAAGGGCGGCAGGCACGCCCCTCCTAAAAGCGGGCAGGATGGGCGGGGCTCAACTGGGCTTCTCCATCACGACCGTTCCCTGACCCCTGGACGTCAACCACCCCCGGTCTCCTTCCTTTTTGCCTAGTCCATTCCCAATGCCACCCCGATGGGCCGCGGCGCACCCGCTGCCTACACAGTAGGTGGCAGAGAGAAAGAGCCCGAGCAGGCGTGTCTACGTTGACGGGACGGGACCTAAGGAGAGTGAGTTAGAGAGCGAGAGAGATTGTGTCAAGCTGCCCGTGTTGTAATGTTGCAACCCAGCGTTAACTGGTCTGGGCATCACCCTTCGATTTCCACCGTCGTCCGTCTCCCTCAGAAAGGGCTCACCTCTGGTCAACGGAGGCTGCAATCACTACTCCCTCCCAGACAACCTGCACGTCTTGCAGAGAGGCCCAGGCCACGGGAGGAAAAGAGGGTGCGCACAGCGTAGCAGCAGCGCTGCACCAGCAAGGGACCGGAGCCACACACATGGATTCACACCAGACCTCCCTTGCCCGCGACTTCCTCGGCCACGGCCGACGTTGCCCACTGTGGGGGGCTTCCCAAATGCGGATCCCGCACCCTCCATGATCCATTTTTGTTTTATTCTTTTTTCGATTTCTTTTTCGCCTGTCGTTTTTGCCCCCTTCCACTGCTGAGGCAGGGTCCCATGTGCTTAGCGGAGGCTTCTTAAAAGTGCTTGCATACCCTCACTTCCTTCCATCCTGCTGCCTCCAAGCCGCTGCTTGTTGACCCTCTTCACCGTGTCCGCACGCAGCAAAGCGAGTAAGGCCGTCGTTCATTTGGTGGATCAGAAAAAGAAAGAAAAAGAAAAAAGATCCCTGGTTGACGGTATCCCAGGACGACGAGAGCCTGAGCCTGCAAGCTCATCATCCATCATATCTGCCACCGCTTGCTTTGCTCCGGGCTTGACCTGGATCCCCCCTTTCTCTTCTGCTTTGCCGGCCCTCAGCTGCGGGTTTTGCATTACTTTGCTTTAATTTGCTATTTACCTTCCATTACTCGCTTTGTCCTCCCGCCGTCTGGCACTTCAACATCGACGCCTCCACTGCGGACAGTCTCTTCCACGCCGCGGTTTTCACTTCTTGGTCCACGCCCAGGACCCAGTCGCTCTAAGCCGTCAGCCACCCGCCTCGACCCTTCTTCTCGGCACCCCCCGAAACAAACAACCACCACGCTGGTCCGAGCAGGAATTCTTAGCGTCCCAATGGCTCACATAATCAGCTGTATGCTGGAGGGGAACCATGATATCGGTAGCATCGGCCATCATATATCCAAGCCAGCCTCCCCACTACCCGCACACGATTCAGTAAGCAAGCTTCAATGCAACCTCAGCTGCCGCCAACATATAAAACACTCATGGGCCCGCACCCTACCTGCAATACACCTTGCTGCCTGTGGTTCTCATTCGCCCATAGCCATCACCACTAACATATCATGCCACCCAAACAGCAACAACAACAACAACAGCAACTGCCTCCACTGCTGGAGCAGGAGCAGGAACAGGAACAGGATTTGTCCCCAGTGAACAAGACCCCGACGCCTGCGGAGAAGTCATCCCACATCTGGAGGATGTACCAACCCGAGCGCAAGTACCAGCTGTTCCCGAGGGAAAAGCAGCAGCCCGCTGCCCCCACGAAGCCGGAGCAGCCCTTTACCGTCACCATGGGCCAGGCCGCGGAGAAGACTGAAAAGTCATCCACCGGCAGCGGCCTGAGATTCAGGATCAAGGAGCACAACCTCAACCGCCGGCGTAAAGTCAGCGTTCCTGAGCTGGGGCCCATGACCACGGTGCACGAGGTTCCCATGGATTCCCGTACGTCGCGCCGCCTCCCACTGGAGTCTTCACGCCCGCCGCAAGCTAACGTGACGAAACAATGCAGCCACAATCCCTGGGAGGCCACCTCTCCATGAGCGATCCATCAGCGCCCCTAGCCACACCCTGAAGCCTCACCACCTCGCCGATATCATGCTCTCCAGGAAAACCCCCCCCGTCAGCGAGAACGAAGAACTGAGCAGCAGCTTCGGTAGCAGCAACGAGTCCATCAGCCCGTTCGATATGCCGAAGCCCGCCTCCAGCCGGCCACTTTCGCCCAGGAGCCTGGCCCCGTTAGTGATCCCGATGCAGGGCTGTATACTTTCCAAGGTCACCGGACAGTGGTCTTTCAGCCACAGCAAATCCCCTAGCAATTCGCTCGACGTCAACAACAGCTCGCGCTCGACACGTACGGACGACTCCCCGAGGACACGAACCCCCTACACGCCGCTCTCGGGAGGAACCACCATGACGACCCCCAGGTCGGCGAGTACCGTGGCGACAACATCCACAGCCCCAACTCCCGTCACGGCGACTCCGGTCTCGGTATCCATGGATGCTCGTGGCTCGCCCAAAGGCTGGGGTGAAACGCCTACTGTGACAACGCCACAGGAGAGGACGGGGACGTCGTTCTTCGACTGCAGTGTCACTCCCAAGGGCGTCAGCTCCGAGGCCCGCCCGCAGCCACAGTCTCTCGCCAACGGACACAGGAGAAACCAATCCGAGTCGTCTGGCAGCATCATGGATCGGGGTCGCCCGCGCAAGCGGAGCGAAATCATACCTGGTGGCATTGCGATTGGCCGCTCGGCGTCCATGTCCAAGCGCAGCAAGAGCGCCGATCGGCGTGCGTTCGAGTCCCTCCCCAGGGGCTGGAAGGCGACCGAGGCCATCACGGCGCTCGAGCAGAGCGAGGCTGCGGCGCTGCAGAAGCAGGCGCTTCAGCAGGCGGCCAGGTTCGAGGTCCTCCGGAAGGGGGATGTCGAGGCCCTGTCAAGGGTAGGTGGATTGTCGCTCGCGTTCCCTACTCTAGGATAGTGCGATTGGCTAACAAGCATCACCCTTGTTCACAGGAACTGCGGCAGCTTGATGAGCGGACCGAGTACCTGCGCCGCACGTACGCGTCGCTCAGAGCCGGCCGGCGCAATCTGCATTCGCGCATCTGCCAGTATCTGCGCTCCCCTCGCGTCGCCAAATTCAGCTACGACGCGATGCTGAAGCAGGAGGAGGCACTCGCTGAGCTCGACCAGTCCATCGACGACTGGGTTGGCAAGTTGGAGCAGGCCGAGAACAGGCGCACCCGTGTGCGCCAGAAGCTTCTGGAGCATGTCGCTGCCGCCGCCACAATGCCCCTGAGCCCTGCCTGCGTCAAGGGTGTCAGCGAGAGCCTCCAGATGGCTGTCGGCATGCGGGCGCCGCCCTCAATGCCTGCCGGCAACATCTCGACGCCTCCCCGCAGCCCAACTAGACAGCCCTACTCGGCGCAGCAGTCTCCCACCCCCCAACGCTTTGTCCCCTCCACCATCATGGAGCAGCCACTAGGCGAGGAGGATGCGGCAGCCGCAGATGTCGGACTAAGCCTCACTCAGGCCACACTGCCTAAGCCCACGCCCCCTACCACCCACCTCACCCGCGCCGACATCCAAAGCATTCGCATCTACGCCGGCGACGACGTCTATGCCCTTCTTGCTGACGTCGAGAACGAAATCACCAAGATGGGTGAGTTGCCGACCGGCCAGAAGGACCAAGCGCAGGATATCACCCTGTCGGACCACCAGCGCAAAGAACTGCACCGTGCCCAAAGTCACGAGCTCTTGAACGGCCTTTCCAAGAAGTCGTCTGCCAACAGCATCTCCAGCACCAAGAGCGCCACCACCACGCCCTCACCGCCAGCCGCCGCCACCAAGCCTTCATCACCAATCACCATCAATCCGTCCTCTCCAGCCCGTACCGCCGCCCCCAAGGATTTCGACGCGCCTTCTCCTCCTGCTGCATCCCTCCCTCCCCTTCCTGGCAACGGTGAGATATTCCTCACCAGTGCCGTCTTCAAGCCATAGGGCCATTCACCACACCCGAGGATCTCGACCCATTTCCTCTCTGTTCTCACCTGTCATTTTTACGATATACATACAAGAGGCACCATCATTCTTCTCATCATTCGAAAACGATGTTTACGGCCGACCACATTTTGCCATTTATCTGTCCGCACTAGACGCGACGACTCCCTTACCGGACATCTTTTTTCCCCTCCCCGCTGGATACCCTTTCGCGTCGATTGCATTGCTGCGGCGACCCTGCTGCCATCGATTGTATTTTCAAATCCTACCTGCAACATATTCTTGACTTTGCTTTGCTAAGCAAGCCACTCCATTTCCTGACCTTCCTTTGTTCGCTTTCCTTTGTCGCGTCTGTACATCTCACTTTGCTTCTGCCCCTGTCTGTCTTCTGCTTCACCTGTTCGTCTTTGTATCATCATCTTTTACCCCTCTGGCACACTTGTATTCACACCAGCGTTCTGCAATATTTCCTGTTGATCAAATCTTCTTTTGCCGCATGCACTCACCCCCCTACAGACAGGGGTATGTGCCCTGGAGTTGTTTGTATTGTATTTGGAGGCTTTCTTGGGCTGGCGGATGGCGCGCCAGATCTTGATATCCAAAGCGGTCTACTGGCAAGGCGCAAAGATGTGCATTCCGTTGCGGATACCATCAAAACAAGGGACGAGGGCGTCACCGGCAGTGGCCATATGACGCAACGCCGGTGGTCTGGCTGTCTTGTCCCGCCTGAAACGCACTAGGGCGTTTAGGGGATGTTGGAGACGGATGCCACGTTTAGGAAGACGTGATCGTCGAGGTGGCTAGGCTGGGGGTTGCGACTTGGCCCAAAGCAAAGGTGGAAAACGAATAAAAAGAGTAAAGTAAAATAAAAAGTGATCTATCAGCCCACCACCTGTAACTTGATACCACCTCCTCGAGTGCAAAGCCACATGACAACACAGACCGTGCCAACTGTGAATAATAGGATGTGTGTGTGTGCTCTTCTAGAGATCAGCCTCGCTTCGCAAGTCTGGCCGCATTGATTTTGGCCTGCCGTTGGAGTCTGGAAGGATTTTCCGTCTGCGTTCTAGGCTACCTCTGCCCTTCTGCGCCGCGTCTTACCAAGCAAAGTGGGTGAGGTGCCAAGGTTAGTCGTTGATCTGTCCCTTTTTCTTCTTCTTTCTTTCCGGTATGCTAGGACGACCGCAGGGAGAGAGGGGGGTGGGGGTTGTGCCGTCGTTGCTGTGGTCGCTTGCTCGAGAAAGTAGGTCGGTCCCCAGAGTGACGGAATCCGCCCATTGGCACCACACTAGGGCACTGGGCCGTGTGTGATGGTGGGCGGTCCGTGATGCCGTCACACAGCATCGTAGGGGCGGATAGGCGCCGCCGCCCTTTGCTGCTAGCCCCCGGTCCCTACAGGCGTTGTGCCAGTAAGGGTGCCAGGTAGGTACATACCATTAGTTCGCAGCAGCAACACGAGCCGACGCTAGCGATGGACGCAACGAGGGCGCGCGCGTTGTCCTGCCCTCACCTCACCACCCCTGTCCCTCTTTTCTTTGCTTTTTTTCGCCCTTTCATCACCACATGATCCCCCGCGCGCCCGCGCACGGGAGAGAGGGAGGGAGAGAGGGAGAGAGAGAGAGAGATCCATGGGGTGGGCGCCTGACACGTCCCCCCAAGGCGCCAGCGAGTTTAGTTAGGGATCAGCTAGTTTGTGGCGCCGACACCAAACAAATCGGTTGCATCGCCGGGTTTTTGTTTGATTCATTCGTTTCCACTGCTTCACTTTGGATGGAAATCCCGTAAAGGGCCTTGGTGGCGCCAAGCTTGTCTCGCCATCTTCACGCCTCGCCGCCCCCAATTCTCCTCTCTCGTTCTTTTTAGATTTCTAGCGTCCTTCGCTAGCGCCTCGCATTCGCACCAGAGATGGATGGAATGCGCATCGCGAACTGGGCTGGCCCAAGGGGGTGCCTCTATCTGTCTGTCCGTTCGTCCGTCCGTCTGCCTTGGCGGGTGGGATCAACCGGAACGCGATGCGCCGCCGCTGCTGCTCCTCGCCAAAGCGCACGCAGCCAAGGAAAGTAGGTAGGTAGGTAGGTAGGTAGGTACCTAAGTGCCTAGGTGGACAGCTCGCTGGGCCCGGGAAACATGCCGGACAGCCCCTTGGGGCCATGATATCTGTCCGCAGGTGACATGACAATGGCGAACTTTGGCGGCTCGCGGGTCAAAGCGACCAGCTAGAGTTGCCTGCCGCCCCTCCGCCCCTTCGGGCCGAGAAGCTTTTCTGTCGTCCATGGTGTTTGCCGTGTTTTTGTTTTGTTTACTCACGCGCCCCCTGCCTTGTTCGTCTGCCCGTGCACCAAGAAACGAAACTTACCGAGCGTCTGGCCGGACGCCGCCCTGCGCACGTGAGCACCGTATCATGCGGCCCTGCCAAACAACGGGGCTGGGAAAAAGGGCGGCGTGGCGGCTCTAACTCGTTCGTCCCGCGGCCGGCATCGGATATTTTCAGCCTCCCCACCATCGTCGGTTGTGGGCAGTCGTTCGGGAAACTTGGCTGGACGCACAACACAAGCGCGTGGTAGGTACCCAAGGTATCTCTTCTCTAGCCGTCGAGGGTGCCATGGCATCTCAGTCTGGCACCATAAGCCAAAAAGCTCTTCTTTTTCCTATCGAGGCCAACTAGCTCCTCCTCCTTCAGACAGCCACCTATTTAACAGATCCCCTGCTAAAGAAAGTGGGGGACAAAGCCCAACACCACCCAGTATCCCGTATTCCCCCAAACATGGCAACCCAGATATTGCCAGGACACGTCGTTGCGTTTCTCGAAACATGTAATAGTACAGGATTTTAACTCCATGGCGTGCAAATTCACCATCGCCAGATCAAGCAAAGAAGAAAACACAGCGGTCGTAAAACAGTCCTCGTAGACCGTTATGATCCATCAGTCGTCGTCTGCGTAGAGTGCGTCGTCCGATCCCGTCGGCCAGACAACGACATGGAGATGCGAAAGGAGCCAGACAGGCGTAGAGAGGGGAGAAAAGGCGGGGCAAGGTTAAACGTCATGCTCAGCGAATACCTCGTGAGTTAGGACTCAGCCGAGATAGCATCTTCGACGCGCGCCTTCTTGGAGGTCGAGTCGTCCGAGGCTTCTGCATCGGCGTCGGTCTCGTCTAGCTTGCGCTTGCCGTTGCTCTTGGCTTTGGCGTTGGCGTTGGCGTTGGCGGCAGAGCCGTTTGCACCATCGGCATCGACCACAGCTGGCTTCTCCTCCTCACCGGCCGGCGCCTTCTTCTTGCGCACCAGCCCAGAAAGGTCCGTCGCGTTTTTCGTGGCCTCTTGCACGCGGGCCTCGACCTGGCTAGGAGTCTCGCCAAGGGCGGCTCCCAGGATACCGCTGAGGGGGTTATCCTTGCCCAAGAGCTTCTCGACATCCACCGGCATGCCGCGAAGTTCCACAAGCTACCCAACACGTTAGCCATCTTGTTCTTTTACGATTCGACATCTCTTGCCAGCTAGACTTACCCGCTGCTCCATGTCGGCGATGACCTCCTTAATGTCGGTGATCTCCTTTCTCGTTACGTCATTGTCGTCAGGAGAATGGTTCATGGCCAGCTCTACCTCCTGGTTCTGCAACTTCAGCTTGGTGCTCGCGATGGCCGCCTCGAGTTCCGTAGCAGCCTCGTCGCGCAGGGCCTGGTCCACGTGCTGCACGCTTTCGGATTTGTCGTCGTTGTCGGCGACGACTGACGCGAACTCGAGCGCCAGGGAGAGCTTGAAGTGCGCCTCGGCGATCAGTTCGTGTTCTTGCGGATACAAGTCCTTCCTGTACGACAGTGACTTGCGAAAGTCTGGGATGGCGTCCTTGAAGCTGTCGGCAGAAAAAAAAAGGGAGGCTACGCGTTAGACACGACCGGGAACAACAGCCACACGGCAGCAAAGGGGTGGAGAGCGGCTTGTTCAAACATACCGCTCGCACTCCAGTGATATCTCTGCCAGTAGGTCGTGGGTGTCGCCCAGGCGCTCCTTGACGTGCCGCAGCGAGGGTGAATCCCCCTCGGCTTTCTCCTTGCCTTTTGCCTCCGAAGACTCCTCCTCGAGCTCCTTCAGCTGCTTCTCGTACAGCACCCTGGCCATCTCGAGAATCTCAAAGGCTGTGGCGAGGTCATCTTCGTCGTCCTCCTCCTGCTCCTCGCCCTCGGCAGCCTATTATCGTCTCACGGTTAGCCATTGTTTGACTTTGAGATATCTGGTATGAGTCTTTCATGACTGACCTCTTCTCCGTCCGAATCCGAGTCCACCAGGTTGTCGTCGCCCTCGAACTGAAACAGAGGCTTCTTAGGCTGGGCAGAGTCGTCCTTGGCGCCGCCCACCTCGGCCGCGGCGATGGCGACACCCTCCTCGGTGATGCGCTCAGCCGGTGAGGGCTCCTCGGGCTTGGCCTCTGAAGACTCCCCGGCGGCCTCGGTAGGCTTGGCCGCCTTCTTCGCGGCGGGCTTCGCCTTCTTCGTGTCGGGGGCCTTGCTGCCAAATACGTCGCTCTTGGACTGGCCGACCTTGATGAGGGCGCGGCCGTAGAGGAAGCAGATCTCGGCGTTCCTGGGGTTCATCTCGCCGTTCATCTCCGACTGCATCTGGGCGGCCTGGGAGAAGAGCTCGGCGGCGTCCTCGTAGTTCTTGTGCACGTACAGGGCCGTCGCCTTGGCCGTCAGGTCGGCGAGCGACACCCTGAGCGACTTGTCGATCTGGTCCGGGTCCAGCGCCGGCGTCGTGGCGCCCGTTCCGGGGCCCGGGGTGCCGGCGGCGCTCGCGGTGGCCGACGCGACGGCCCCGGAGAGGGCGGTGACGGCGAGAGGGACGGCGGCGGGCGCGTCGGCGGCGCCTTCAGCGACGGGCGGCCTGGTCTCGGCCGGCATGTCGTCGGCCATTGTGTCAATTGGAGGATGGGGGATGGGCTATCTGGAAGAAGTTGTTGTTTCGTTGGTGGGAGTTGCGTGACGTAGTTGGACGTGTTGACCTCGAGTTGGCGGCCTGGACTGCCAATTAAATGCAGTTGAGAAGGGGAGACAGGTGAACAGATCAATAATAATGAGGGGGTTGTGAGCTGTTGTTTGGCTTGCGGGTGGCCACATGGATTGCGCTGGGTTGCCCAGGCAGTCGCACGACAAGGGCTGAGAAGGGATGGCGCTGGGCGGGAGCTTGAGCTTCCCCAGCATGACGCGACACAATCACTCCAATCACTCCACCCTGCGTGGTGCTAGCGCGTGGTGGCACTGGGGGGTGCAGGTGGGCCATTTGATGACAGCCAAATATTCTCAATTGAGCTCCAATACCTCCCCATCAATATCAGGCAGGCAGGCCGAGACAACATCATGAAATTCACAGCCAACCCTAGAAAGAAAAACACACACATACGGCAACTACCACAAACGCAAATACACGCGCCTTAGTGGAACTGGTCCTCGGTCACGCCCTTGCCCATGGCCGCCGTGCTGCTGACGCCGCCCGTGACCATCTTCTGCAGCTCGTCGACGTAGGTGGCGCCGCTCCATTTCTGGTGCTTGACCACGTCGACGCCCAGCTCTATCTCGGGCTCCTGCACGAGCTCGCCATATGCCCGCATGCCCACCTCGGAGTAGGCCCGCGCGAACCGGTCGCTGATGAGCGCCGTCGTATGCAGGCCCGCGAGCGTGATGAACTGCCAGCAGTAGCCCAGCGACGCCAGCCGCCGGATGTACGTCTCCTGCTCGTCCCGCGGCATGGCCGTCTTCCAGTTGAAGGACGGCGAGAGGTTGTATGCCAGCCTGTTTTTTTTGACAGTGAATGTTAGTTGTCATGTCCTTCGGTCGTGTTATGCGTGTGTGGTGCAAGTGGGCATAAGAAGACAAGTGTAAAGAAAACGACTCACTTCTGCTCGGGCCACACGGCGTGCACGCCATCAGCAAACTCCTGCGCCTGCTTAAAGTCGGGCAGCTTGCTCTCCATCCAGATGGCGTCGGCGTACGGGGCGTAGGCGATGGCGCGGTTGATGGCGCAGTCGCAGCCGCCCTGGAGGCGGAAGTAGCCCTCGCGCGTGCGGGGCGCATCCCAGTCGAAGAAGATGTCGCCCGCCCCCATCTGGCGCGCGATGGCGCGCGCCTCGGCGTTGCTCTTGCCCTTGGCCGCCCTGCGGTACTGCAGCTCCTCTTGCGAGCCCTTGCCCTTGGCCCGCAGCGCGTCGACCACGGCGTCGTCGAAGCGCTTGAGCCCGGCCTTGGACAGCCACTCGTCCTCGACGGCCTGCAGCTGGTCGCCCGTCTTGCCGGCCTGCTCGCCCGCCGCCATGAGGTCGCTCAGCGGCTGCAGCTGCGGGTTGGTCGTGCCCAGGATGAAGGCGTGGTCGCGCGGGTCGATGTTTGTCGAGATGAGCGTTGCCGCCTCGGCGTCCGTCCTGGCGATGGCGAGGAGGTCGACGCCTGATGTCCCAAGACCACCGCCCATGTCAGGACAGAAGCAGCATGAGAGAAAGCGGGACCAAAACATAACATACCCATGATATCAGCCTGCGCCCGGATGGCGACGAGGCGGTTGATGTGCTCGCTGATGGGCACCAGGACCTTTCCGGCCATGTGCCCGCACTTCTTGGTCCCGGGCGCCTGGTCCTCGATGTGGATGCCGGCGGCGCCCTTCTCGATGAAGAGCTTGGTCAGCTTCATGACTGCCGTCAGCCCGCCGTGGCCCGTGTCGGCGTCGGCCACGATGGGCCGCAGGTAGTCGATGTTGGTCATCTTGGCCCGCTGCGACTTGGGCGCCGACAGCCGCTCGCTCCGCTGCTTGCGGTCGTGGAAGAGCTGCGCCATAAATAGGTGCGCCACCTTGTTGGGGACCGTCGTCTGTGTGTTGTTGCCGCCGGGTCAGTACACAAAAAAAAACATGTCCCTCCAACTCTCCGGGACTTGCTCACATAGGGGTAATCTGCCAGATCCGGGCCGGGCTCGTCAGAGGCGGACGCGGTCGAGGACGACTGCCATCCGGACACATAGACGGTATCCAGATACTTTGCCATCTGGGTCACCATGGTCGGCTCCAGACAACCGTAGGTGTAGCTAGCATCTCGGTTCTGCGCGGTAGGCAACGCGTGTAAGTCAATCGAGCCACACTCCTGGTCGCATGGGCTTGCGAGGGGAAACATTGGCAGTTCCGCACCTTGAACCGGCCCTCGAGGATCTTCCACAGCTTCTTGGCCTGAGCGTTGCTGGCATACTCGACCTTGAGGTTCCCCCGCTTGGACACGATCTGCTCGGCCGTGAAGGGCCTCTTGGTGTGCCTCCAGCGCGGGTCGCTCCACCACTTGTTGACCTCGGCCACCTCGCGGGCAAAGATGTCGTCCTCCTGGCTCGGGTCCACCGAGGGGTTCACCATGTTCTTGGACGCCATCTTGATGGCCAATTGGGGTGTGGGAGTGTATATGAGAGCTGTGGGCGCGCAGGAATGCTATGATTCTTTGTTCCTAGGGCGCCGTCGAGGGAGCAGGAAGCTTGGGATTGGTAGTTTAGGGAGACGGAGGGAAAGGGAGAAGCAAAGAAGAGATTGGGGACAACTTCTGAGAAAAAAGAAATGGAAACCAGAAAAAAAAAGAAATAAGGAAAGGAAGCCAGGAGGGGGAAGAAAAAGAGTCAGACTCTAGTTTGGATACGTATGTTTTGAGCTCGGGTTGTGAGTGTACCTAGGCCGACTTCATGCCGATCGCAAGCCGCAGCTAGCTTGTGACGACGCCGGCTTACAAGCTCCCTCCTCCTCTTCCTCTTTACCCCGGGTCAGCCAAGAGGCACCACCCCCAGGAACGCTTCTTCGGGAAGGGGGGAGGAGGGGGCGCAGGGGTGTCCTTTGGTCTTGGGGCCTGGAAGGCCGTCGGAAGACATCGGGCTAGCGGCTGTTTCGCCTCGGCCCTGTTTCTCCTCGCCTGCCCGTCTCTCGCTCAGCTGGATGGACGGAGCGCGTCCACCTTTTTTCACCTTGGGTGGGCTGAGGTCACAGGTACCTCTGCGTGGTTATTAACCCTGCTGGGTACATTTGTCTAGGTAGGTCTGACTAGCGAGCAAGTTGACAGCGTTGGGGGTTGTGGTGGGGCTTCTTTTTCCAACTTGGGGCAGTAATGCATCTATGCAAACCCAATTGCGGCTGGCATCCTTGTGATGAAAGCTGGAGAAGCACGGAAGCCGGAATGGCAGCGGAATCGACTGCTGCTGCAATATAGGTGCCCGCTGTTTTGTCCCGCTGCCATGCCGCGGCATGGGCATTCCACGCCTCCAGTCGTCTCGGCTCAAGGGGACGCTACTGCCCACCTACACTACACCTACGCACACACGTACCTTTACCGTCATCCCGCCCTGTCCGCCAAGAAGTACCCGGGGGCAGCTATCTACTGTGTAAACATCCCATCCCATATTACCGAACGCCGGTCTCGCCTCGAGCACTTCCACCCGTGCGGTTTCCTTGCTCGCGTGCCCACGCAGCCTGACCCGATTCCCCATGCCGCCGCCGACGTCGGTTGGTGGTGCGTTGAGGGCGTTCAGCATTCTGCTACGATATGTCACCGCAGTTGTTTGCCCCTCAATTGATTCCAATCCCTCCCCAGCAAGAGGAGGGACTCGATGCCCGCGGATAGCCACGGCAGACGTCACCCTGAGCGGCATGTGAAAGAAAAGCTTGCCCTGCGTCATACACACAGTACAAAAAGCCAAGGCACAGCAGCCCAGCCCACCCCCGGGAACGCGAAAGGTGCACGAGCATGTGCCGGTCATACGGCTGTTCTTACCCCACACCAGGGGATCCCCCGCCAATGGCAGCTTGGCCCTGCTGCCGAATTGGGCAATCCCATTGCCTCGGTCAATCTGATGAGTGATGAGGCCTTGTCTGGGCTGGCTCTTTGGCTGTGTTGCCCATGTTTCGTCACATGCGGCCCGGTCGAAGCAGCAGCCACAGGCACGTTTCCCACATGAACGAACGCCCGCGGAGTCTACGCCCGCCGCATAGGCTCTCCCGCTTTGGACAGTGAAACGGGAGCGGCTAGATTTGGACATGGATAAAAGGAGTGAGGACAGAAACACAGGATGTGTAGATACCGATGCTCAAGTACCTATTCATATTAATATATAGCATGGCCTGGTTCGGTTCTATCTAGGCTGGCGGCAGGCCCGAAGCCGCTGTATAATACCAACGCCGTGTCACAAACCCCTATCCCACGAAACCAATCTCCATGATGCGCCGTCCGCCGAATGCGAGTAAACCAGCAAAAGACATGGACACTCGATACTTTTCATGCTTTCGAGGATAAATAAAACAAAACCCTTCCTCTACTCCATATCCGCAAGAGCCCTGTTGCGGTTATCCTCGACAGCCTTGATGAAGGTGTCGTAGGGTGTGAGGGTTCCGAGGGCGCGGCGCATATGGGCGTTGATGATTTGAAGGCCGTAGATATAGCTGGCATTGACCCAGCCGAATCTGATAATGCAGCGTCAGTAAAAGCAAGCCAGCAAGAGAAAAAAAAAGAGAGAAAAAAGAAGAGA